CATGTAAGCAGGGTTGGTCCATTGTCAGAAAAACTTGAGGCTTTGGGACATTGTTGTAACACAGTGAAAAGGAGTGGAGAAATGTGTAACGGCAATGTCAGTGACACTTACTTAAAGGGAATGTTTATGATTGTTAGAAAAAAATACTGACAGTTCCACACCAAGAGCATAGTCAGGGACATGCATCCATTTTAGCAAGCAAGAACTAGTGTGATGCAATGGACAACTAAATGCCAGAAAGCTCTATTTCATAAAAAGAAAAAGTACTTTGTACCGTTCGGATATATGTGCTGCATGTGTACAAATATACAGGCCACTACCAGACTGGCTGGTGAGGGCCAAACAGGAACCCCTTTTCAAGGAAGCCCCTCCCAGCTGTCAATCTTGTGCTCAGCTATGCAACTAAATCGCTGTACATTAATTTCATTTATTCAAGTATATTTGCTCCTAAAACTTGACGTGTTGCATCACAGGAACAGACCAGCTAGTAAAATGAAGACACACATTTTAATTCAAATGGTTCATGAGTGTATTTTCCTAAAAATAGAGAAAAAGGTAGCATGAAACATTTTGGTTTTGCATTGTAAAAATCATGTTTTGAATGCAACACCTAAACCTTTGCTGGTTACATTTTCTACTCCTTTGTCTCTGGCCTTACCCACTAAACGGTAACATTTACTTCTTTTGTCCACCCACCCCTCCCCAAAACAAAACCCCCAAATTAAGTTAATGCAAGTTCAATCAATTATAAAATACAGTGAAAACAAACAAACAAACAAACAAACAAAACTTAAAACAGATTAGTTAGGGCAAAAAGAATCTAAATTCGGTTTATCATCAAATAGAGGCAAACCTCATGCATTAATGTGTACAAGCGGTGTAAAGCTAAGTGGGGAGAAGCAACCAGAGAGAGTCTAATCTGACAGTCCTGAGGTAGCTGTACTCTGCCTAGTGCAGAAAAACTGGCTTTACTAATCAAAAGTGTCAGGTAATAGTGGAAACAAAATATATACCCATAAAAATGGAAGTTATTACACATGGGGAAAGACATACAGGTACAAATCATAAGTGAAAAACCACATAAAATGCATGCAAAATACAGAACATGCAGCTTTCATCTGAGGATTTGACTGTGAAGCATTCAAACATTCAGTCCAGCACTCTCTTTCCCATGCTGCTTTGAAACACCATGCTAGTCCATTGGCTCTGAGCGATGTTCACGCCAAAGACACAAAGGTAAACATTAGTAAACAGTTCTGTCTTGTTCTCTCACTCTCTCTTTCTACCCTACCCACTCTGCTCTCTGTTAGCAAACTGAACAAATAAACAATTGCATAAAATAGTGTTAAATGTCTGTACACAAGCACTTTTTTTTTCCCATTCAGCCATTTAAACATAATTTGGGGCCAAACCAAATTGGATATCATCATAATTGATACTGGTTTGAAATAAGACATTAAACAAATGATTAAAAATGCAATAACAAAAAGAAATCAATGGTCACTATACTTGAAGACTTCAGGTCTGTATGGTCTCCTCAATCCCCACTGGACATGTTAAAAAAAAAGGTTATATTTCTATATCACGGTTATTTTTGAGTTAGTCCTGTCCTTCTCGTACACATTCTCTGTTGCGGAGGCACACTTTAAACGCACAACCACACACACAGACACACGTACACACTATCTACACACATCTGTGCACATTTCAGTCAAGACCAGAACATTTTGGCCAAGTTAGTGTCAGTGCTGTAGATCCACAGCACCAGGGGGAGTGAGAAAGCCACGAAAGGCCAGGAAATGCCCTCCGCGCAGGTGCTGAGCAAGCAGGCCTTGCCCTTGGGACTGTCCAGATCTTTGGGCTTGTCCAGGTAGTTTCTAGCCACAAACTTGAGCACTTCGTCCAGCAAGATGACAGGCAGGGAAATCTTCAAAACTGTAAGCCACTGGGTCACGTTCAGTGGGGTGATCTGGAAGATCATCTGTAGAGAAAACGGAGTCATTTGAACTATTATACAGAGTAAATAATAAATGGACAATTTACTAAACTCAGAACAGTTTGATCACAAAACAATACAAATACATAAATTCACTTAGAACTGTTAAAAATTGGAATTCATTCAATTCTACAAAGACTGCAAAAAAAGAGAGTAAAAGAACCAATACACTGAAACTGATCATCTTATTGATCAAAACTGATCTTACCGGCAGGGGCTCCACATAAAGGATAAGGAAGTGGAGGGACATGGAGAGGCAGATGGCTCCAAGCAGCCACACATTCTCCCAGGGGGGCATGCGAAGCAGAGATTGGTTCTCAGAAACACTATGACAGGACATCAACAAGATAACATTGTGAATTTAAGAGACTGAATATTTACACAATTATGGAGATAGAATTGTTGCTTAATTCCAAATAAATAGATTACGATCCATAAATAAATGTAAAGAGATTAACAAACATTAAACATATTGACAAATAAATAGAATGAGATCCACAAATAAATCTTAAAGTTTCACAAACATGAATTAAATTCACAAATAAATCAAATGAGATTTGCAAATAAAAAAACATATTCACAAATATATATTTGTCACAACCACAACTTTGCCTGGCATTTATTTGTGAATCGCGTCCTGTGCATTTGCGAATTGTGAAACATTTCTTGCGTCAAGACGTGCTGACAATCCACAAATACGTGGACTCCACCCACCGTCTACTCAAGCCAATCAGATAACAGCCACATTTTGCTGACCAATCGTAGCACGATCTCGCTATAGCCAATCACGTTCTGCTTTACAATCAGGGCGGACTCGTCCTGAGATAACTTCATTCATCTGCATTGGCTCAAATAGGTAATATAAGGGCCATAAAATGGGTACAGTAAAAGATGTTTAAAATTGGATTTCGTTAGACCATTAGACAGTGTATCATGCCAAGCCACAGTATTATATTTTACGTGCCTTTGAAAATGCCAGAGAAACAGTGCGTGATGAAGTGTAGTAGGTTAGACTAGTGCATGTGCCCATTTACAGTGCTTTCTTTCACTGTATGATTCAGTTTATTAAAATACATTTCGAATGATCACAAAATTCAAGATATGGGAGCAGAAAATTTATAAATTTATATCATTTAATATAGTTTATATAAATATCATTTATACATCAATGTCGTTTCTTTTCTCCAAAAATCAACATGATTTCAAATGTGATATTAAAATTATGTGATATTAATATACAGTTCAATAAACAAAAAGTTAATTAAGAGAGTTTTAGACACCATATTGCCTGTTTTTGCTCTATTTCGACAACAAAAATAACTCCAAACAAAGCCACAGCACTGTTTTGCGTCTCTGAGCAACATGAAGGTGTTTCATTTCTGCATGAATCAACCGTTTAAATGATTCAGTTCAATCGCAATGACTCACTTATTAACAGTGACTTGCTGCCACCTACTGGTGGTTTAAATTTCACATTTAAAGTATCTTTTCATTTTTTTAATAATTTCACAGTCAGTATTCGACGTTTTTTTGTTTAAAATATCAAAACATTATTTATGCATTTGTAGCTGCAGGTTAAAGCATCCCATGTCCATCTGAGCTGCATTAAACAGTGTGACATCTAAATGCCACTTCAGATGCAGCTTCTGTGTTTCCTCTGCATTGCAAAGATTAATTTCGTTGATATTTATACCATTTGTTTGGTAACAGCCCAAATGTCTCATTATTCTAATTGACAAATTATATGCAAGAATTTGACTCAAAAAGATGATGCACACTTTAAGAAAAAATGGCTTTATAAATGTAAAAATGCTTATAAAAGGTAAAAAAAAAAAA